GTCATTTCCAAATCCGAATTTCTCAGACGAAGAAGATGAAGTATTCGAAAAAGCTCCACATCCAAAAGTAGAAATGGTGTGAGCCATTGAATAATCCACTTCCAAAAATCAATAAATTTACAACGGCAGGCATGATGGACGAAATCCAAACAAACTTTCTCCAACCTAGTAGTTAATTCGATAAAGGATCCTGATTGTTTTACTGGGCATGCGAGGAGCAGCACCAACCATCGCTTGATGACCTCTGCCACTTTGACTGTGATTATTGTTTTGCTTCAACTCCCGCAGAATACACCATGCCTGCGGTTGTGACAGTTATTTTATTCTAAGAATTGATTATATCAACAAGAGTTCAGTGTGCACTAGATAGATCGAGTAGAGTAATTTGCGTCTTAGCATTACTCCTGTCTTGAAGATTAGTACGCAGCCTAGGAGTTTAGAGCTCAATTTATACAGGATTTCCAACAGAAACTGAGATGGAGTAGAAGATTAAAGCTTCTTTCCGGTCATTCATTAAACATTATTCATATTATTGAAAATTTCTACTTCACAAATGCACGCAACATCGGTTCAGGCACTCCAAACCACATACTCCGAATGCAGCGAGAATGTTTTATTTTCAAGAAGAAAATTGGCAAATATGATCTATACTATGGTAGCAACCGCAAATCCGTACTCCTGTATTATATAACACTAAAACACGCATACAATGGCAACTCAATCATATATATACATTTTTAGCACAAAAACCGGCAAGCAGTTTGAAGAAGGTATACATGAAAGGTGCTAATATGACGAGATGAAAAAGCGAACTGATAGCTCTGAAAGGAACACGTACGGTTTGATAGGGTACCATTCCCAACTATTTTACAAAAACTGCTTGTTCGTTGCAACGATAAAAGGAAGCGACTGAATTACAACAATCAAACAGAGGTATTAAATGAAGACAAACATCTACAAAATCTGCAATATAAGGAATAACAATTAATACCTGCATTAGAGCACAAGGGACTGATCTTCATATACAACCAACTATAGCCGCATCAACTATTAGTTAAGATTTGGATATTATGAAAGAACTTCAAAATACCAGTGAAGCAAATTTCTTGTGAAAATAAATAAAGGGCATAGGGCGCATCTACTCCAAATCTGCAGCAGACAATGAAATCAAAATCCTGAGCGAACATAAACGATGGAAGAGAAAGGAATATCGAGGAGGGTGCACATAGTGAATTACCGCATGCAGGTTTGGTCGGCTATCACGAGATTACGTCTCGTTTACAATAGATTTGCTCGACATTGAATTGTTCGCTCTTGTAAAAAGCTCGACAACAAACTGGTAGGCATGGAGATTTTGCCAGACCACTATTACAGCAACAAGACAACAAATAAAAACACCCGCTTTGTTTCTGTAAAATAGTTTTAGAAAAAAAGGCAAGCAGTTCGAATTATACGGACAAGAAAGATATTACAGTGGCTCATAAACATCCCAAACAAAGATAAGTAAGGACTGTTGTCTAGACCCGAAATTCTGTCCCAAACATGTATAAAACTAACCTCGATCCAAAATACGGCAAGAATAGGTCGAGCATCGTTGCCACAAGATATAACACTATTTTTAGGAATTCTACCTGAAAATTGGTTCATTACTTCAGCCATCACTACGAAATTCCGTTTTGAGCGTTATACCACAATGTTTGCGCTGGACAAAAATACGGCATTTCCCCATGCAGGCCCAGACAAACGTAAATCCAGAGTGTCTTTTATGGAATTTTCCATACGAACCATCTGAAAGTATTTCGACAAAATCCGCAAACCAACTATTCTCCTGCAATCTTCTAAGAACCCACGTGATTTTGTACAGACTCTACGCTTTCTTCTACACGTTTGAAACGGTCGTTATACTGATAATCAAGTCGATTTGCAATACCCTTCTGTTCCTGTTTCAAAGCCTAAACAACCCTTTCGATACTGTACAACTAGCGTTTTAACAGGAAATCTAAGGACATTAAAATGAAAGACACCTGAAACTCGGCTTGGTGCAGTTCAATTGTTTCGTTCATTGTGGTTTCCAATCTCTGAAAAAGTATTACCTCGGAAAAAAATAGCTGCACTTTGGAGAAAGTACAAGATAGCTGATGCTGAACCTATCGAAGCAAGAAGTTGAAGAATCCTCTCACAAACTATATAGAATCAAAATTCTTGTTTTTTGCGCTCAAACTATGCTTTGATTCCTGGTATGTTTAAGATGCCCCAAAAACGTGCCCACTGTTTAACGTTGATGGCACTTTAATTTCTTAATCTTCTTTGAGCATTAGTAACTTTCATTAAAGGGCTAATTTGAACGTAGATTTCCACTCATAACGTTTCATAGACTTGCCCGTTGCGATAGAACTACATGTGAAGTCGTTGTTCTAAGATACTCCTGGATAATCTCTGTGAACACATTTCCAGCATTTCTGGCAGTATAAATCGGGTAAAGCCAATAGTGTTTCAATACAACACTATAGTCACCAACAACTCTACCCGCAATCCCACCACAGGTGCATGATCCGTTTCAAAAAAATTAAAGCTTATAATAAATCACTAAGTTCAATATAAGATTT